CATAATACTACTACTATGAATAGCAATAAAAATACAATAGTTTATACTATATTTCTTTGATATGATTGAGTTAACCTTCCACTTTTGAAATGCATCTACCATTAATGCTTGGTATAAAAAAAAAGTCGATTATGACAAAGAGAAAACAAAGAGCCCCAAACCTTGCTCTTTGGCCTGGGTGTACAAATGACAGAGGATAGATGAAAGCAGAAGAAGATTTACAGCCTTAGCAGATCTTTCTGAGATAGGCTTTCCCATTCTCCTTTTTGAAGCTTTGGCCCCAAATCAACTTATTGAGTGGCCAAAGTAAGGTAAACCTTGGGCTCAGCTTATTTCAGCAGTATTTACTTGAACTTAAGTTAATGCTTTCTGAGTTTCTTTAGTCTCCATGGGGCATGGTCAATACCCTAATGTCTAAATTTCCAGCATGTCTGTTATAGGGGAGTATGGAAATATCTGAGACTTGATGACTGGAATGTGTTGCACCAGTGAGGAACCATACAGCGGACATCCCAGGCTAGATCTTAACAAAAATAAAGGGCAGACCAAAGGTGAGATCTGCAGTTCCCTCAAGAGCCAAAATGCAGGTGGGTGAGTAGAAAAGATGATCAGTCTGTCCATCCATGAGTGTTAATGATCCCAAGATGCACTTGTCATGATGGACAATGGCAGAACAGCAACCATGCAAATTAGAGGACAAGACAGACCAGAGGGAAGCATAGCGTTATGTCCTCCTCTCCCTTCTTCGTGCACAAAAGATTGACTTGAGATATTTAAAAAGTCATAGAGATGATATAATTGGTTATGGGAAGGAGTAGGCGTGAGAGGAAGAAATCAAGAATGACCCTGAGACTTCTGAAATGCATAAACCGATGAAAGAAGGTGCCAATTATGTATGACAAAAAGGATTGGAGCAAAAATTTCTAAATGACTTTAGAAGGGAGGATTTTGAAGTCCACTTTGGATTCCTCTCACCGTACCCCGACATACTTACCTTGATAGGTTAAATGGAGATCAGTGAGATTATGAAAAGATTTACTGCAGTTGCCTGCCTGTTGACACAAGGCATCCTTTTCTCCTTTCTGCGACTGATAGGCACGTCTCATCTCAATCACACGTGCTGATCGGTCATGGCTCTGGAAAGGGAGGAGAAAGCAAGAATTATCCCACTGCTCTCCTGTGTCCGGGTGACTTCGCTTCAGAGGAAAGAAACAGAAAAACAAGCCACATTCTTAAATCCACGTTTACTCTCAATGATGTGACTACTGTTAATATCTGACTGGCATGTGTAGTCCTCAATTGATTCAAGACTTAGAAAGAAAGTGATTCAATGGCCCCTTTAATCTCCAAAAATGGTGAACCCAGAAATAATCCCAAACATTAACTACTGTGTGCTGCTGTGGCCTGAGGCAGCAACACAGCATAAAACAAAATTTTACTCAGGTGGTTTAACTGAATGGACTTTAATGAAAAGACAGAATACAGGCTTTGTTAAAAAACAACAACAACAATCAATTATCCCTGTAGGATAATTGGAAGAAGCAATTTCTACGCCTAGTTCTACAGTGGCCAGGCAGTGGCTACTGTCACTAGAGCCCAATAAGAGCTAGACCAGGAAGCAAGTCCCTGGCATACTTCTTCTCCAACATACACGTCAGCATGATGTAGCCACTCTAGCACCTTCATTGTGAAGCTGGAGAGAATGAGGAAAACACTGAGCTACTTTTCCCTTCCTCCCACTCTCTGACATCTCATTGGCCAAACTCAGCTGGTTTCTCTCATTGGCCAAACTCGGCTGGAAACTAGTTATCAAAGGAGCTCTAATGATGTCATCCATAAAATTAAATTTTAGGTAAACAAAAGAAAGTAGAGAAGAACAGATAATAGGTCTGGGTGAGGTAGGGTACAAAGCAAGAATGGCCGTTACGTCTATTAATATCTATATATCCACAGTGTTCATGTAGCTATGCATTATTTTTCTTATTAAAAAATAAATCACCAGGCTCATGATCAGGAAATAACTTGTCTAGGTTCAATAAAACTTAATTGGTCTTCCGATGGTTTTCCAGACTTCAAAACGTGTCCACTATGCCATGCACTACTTTATCTTCCATGTTGTAAACAAGAAAAGTTGATATTTCCTCAAAGTAAAAAAAATATTAAGACTTTCAGATATAAGTTAAAAGAAACAACGAATCTCCTGTCTTTATCTTTCTGGAGATATTTAATTCCCAGATGATCTGAGGGTGTGGGCAAAAATTATGTCTTTAATGAGCTTAGGATTTTCAAAAGAATAAAACAGTAGTGGTTATTTATAGTCTGAATGACTTTCTGCTAGAAATAATTGAACCGTAGGGATTTTTGGTCCCTATATGACAAGTCTGTTATAGAGCCTTTAGGTTCTTTATTTCCATGCTGTCATCGGGAAGTCACTCTTTTTTCACAGGTAGGATTAGCTATTGCTAAAATGTATTTTGGAATTTAGAAATAGATATTTTAATCAATCAAAATAAATTATGGGCTGAAACATATGCTGATAAATAAGTAAATGTCTCGATTTATATTCTACTATTCTTCTCAGAGTACAAGTATTTATAAGTGTACGGTGGAGTAGTATTTATGATGGAAAGGGAACCAGACCAAAGAGAACATCCATTCCCTCAGTAATCACTGATTGCCTCCATTCAGAAAGCACTGTTCCAGGTGCCACTGAGGCTGTCGCTACAGATAAACTCCTCGTTCCTAAAGAGCTCACACTTTGATGTTGCTGAGTCTTGTTTTAGGCCAGACCTGGACATTTTACCAAAAAATAATAGTAGGTACAACTTGCTAAGTGTTCACTCTATTTCAGGCATATTTAAAAAGTATGAACTTGATTAACTCCCTTACATGGATGGAATTGCTATTAGTAACCAATTTTATGCATGAGGCATCTTAGGCACAGAAAGATGGATAACGTGCCCAAGTCCTCAGATAGGAGTTAGAGGATGTGGAATTTCCAGCCCAGAAGTCTGACACAGACTCCCAGTAACTGTTAAACACCGCTGACTTTCAGTAATTAGGCATGCTTTCTCTCTCTTGTTTCATGAAGAAAAATAAAGGGATGGTTCAGTCTGAGTTAACAACCCTACTCTTTATAATAATAATGTTCTGTACCCTCTCTATAAAAGTGTCCACTTTTAGGTTTATAATCTCTATTATTTAAAATTATTAAAAATTCATTTAATGAGGATGCTTTCTCTAATTTTGTTTTCCATCTCAAGTTGAACTATGACCACATGCTAAGGAGACATCATCCTCATTAAAGCTAAAGACCAACCTTTAGACTCTCTGGATGACTGGGGAGTAGCAGCAAGCATTACATGGGAAAGTCACAGAGTGAAGGCAAATGTCAAGAGTGCAAACTTTGTCCACTCATAAATACTTCTTTCTGAGTTTTCCTTCCTTAAATCACATAGGATGTGTTTTGTTTCTTTAAAGAAAGGTAATTACCATGAAGTACTCTGTTGGATCATATGAAAAGTTTATTGCTTATATTGCCTCATTTCTCCACAGTGAAAATGAATGAGATATTACTTTGACTCTTGATTAATGTTTCAATAAGTAAATACTATGAAAGTACCATCCCAGCATAAAACGTATTTGTCTGTTGTGACTATAACTATAATCTTACAAACTTAAAAAAAGAAAAATGCAAAATGTTTATGATTTTGCAGATTTAGTTGACTTGTCTTGCATTTTATTATCTTTGTCGATAAGTTCAAAGTCCTTAAGGGCAGAATGGGATCATGGAAGGAACAGTGCTGGAGTGATGCATTTGCAAAGGGCCTTATAGAGTGGCCTGTGTTTATCCTTGGCATTGCAGCCATTGACAAGACTCAGTGTAACATCAACATAGCTGTGTATGTGTTATTGAAGGAGGAAGTAGATTTTTCCATGATGGTTTTCATGGTCTCTTGTGTCCTGCACAAATGTTGGGAGATGGCACTTCATGATACCTTATGTACTCTCATTTAAATAGGTAATATGATTATTCTTTCTGTGTTAAATTTTATATGTTTTAAAGAGTTTTAATAGAATGCATGTTATAGAGTTTTTCTCAAATTTTCAAGAGTTAAAATGAGGTAGAGTTACAATGAAATCATCTGAGAATATGTTTGTCAGCCTTTTTTTAATTATCATCTTCCCCACTCAGGGAGCCTTTAATATATTATTTCCCTGCTAACTGCCACCGCCATGAACGTTTAATACCACCAATATATGAGTATGTGTATATCTGTATATACATATATATGTGTGTATCGTTTATGTACTGTATGCACATCTGTTTTTATATCAAAAACCCACTAAGATTCGCTTTCGTGCCCCACAAATTGATTTTTGCCTCCCTTGGCAATAATATACAAAGCAAAGGAGATTTTAGGTAAGTACTTACAAATTAAGTAAAATTTAGTGACAAGAAAACCACCGGTGGCAAACCAGTGTGGGGAAAATGGACAAGCATTGCAGGGGGAGAGAACAAGGGCAGGTAGACAGATCCTTGTTCTGTAAGGATGTGTTCCACTTCTCTAAGTCCATTCAGCTGTGAAAAAAAACAGATGAGTTCCAATTTTGATGCTTTAGATACTCTCCCCGCCAAAAAAAGGAATATTGGAAAAATATGAGATTGCAACTTAAAAGTAAAACTGTTTAAAACTATTGTTTAAGAAAATTGTAAATGAACAAATGTGGTAATCGCTTGCAGAAAAAAGATTTTTCAAACATGAAAAGACTTGCAGAAAAGCATTTAAAAATTTGACTGCCTTATATAAAGGAGTTCTATTGGATATTTCAAACATCAATTGCCTGCTTACTAGGCTACTTCCTTATACCACATGTATTTATGACTTTGAGGAAAGTGGAAGGTATATCAGGTGACATGATGGACTAATGGATGAATGACGAAACGCATGAATTTCCGTTTCCTTTATTTAGACCTCAATTGAAGGGAAGCAAACACAATGTTAAAGGAAAACTACACAGCAGTGACTGAGTTTATTCTCCTGGGACTGACGGATCGCGCGGAGCTGCAGCCTGTCCTTTTCGTGGTGTTCCTCATCATCTACCTGGTCGCGGTTGTCGGCAACGTGAGCATGATTTTGTTAATCAGAAGTGACTCGAGACTTCACACTCCCATGTACTTCTTCCTCAGTCACCTCTCCTTCCTGGATTTCTGTTACACCACCACCATCGCTCCTCAGATGCTGGTTAATTTCTTATCCAAGAGAAAAACCATATCTGCCATTGGTTGTTTTATACAATTCCACTTTTTCATTACCCTGGTGATCACAGATTATTATATGCTCACAGTGATGGCTTATGACCGCTACGTGGCCATCTGCAAGCCCTTGCTATATGGTCTCAGAATGTCCAGATGTGTGTGCATCTCTCTCGTTGCTATTTCTTATGTTTATGGCTTTGCAAATGGTCTGGTACAGACCGTCCTGATGCTTCGTCTCTCTTTCTGTGGACCCAATGAAATCAACCACTTTTACTGTGCGGACCCACCTCTGTTAGTCCTTGCCTGCTCAGATACCTACGTCAAAGAAACTGCCATGTTTGTGGTGGCGGGTTCCAACCTCACCTGCTCTCTCACCTTGATTCTCATCTCCTACATTTTCATTTTCACAGCCATTTTGCGTATTCGCTCTGCTGAGGGGAGGCGCAAGGCCTTCTCCACCTGTGGGTCCCATTTGACGGCTGTCACTATCTTCTATGGGACACTGTTCTCCATGCATCTTAGGCCTCCTTCTGAGGCATCTGTAGAACAGGGGAAAATTGTGGCTGTGTTTTATATCTTTGTGAGTCCTATGTTAAATCCTTTGATCTATAGCTTGAGGAACAAAGATGTTAAAGAAGCAATAAGGAAAGTTGTCCAAAAGAAATTGTTGGATAAATAAAATACACGTTTTGGTCATAGGTATGCAAATATCCAATTTTCTGCCTAATTATAAGCATTTTAATTAAGAGATCACTTTCTGTCACTAAATGTTTTTTGTTTTTTGTAATTCATATAAAGGACTTGGACAAATCTGTCAAACTATTTGCTAGCGTTTACAGTATCATGTCAGTGAGTTAAAAAAAAAAGTGCGTAGAAATTTTAAAATTCTAACCAAAAGCCATTGTTATTGCTCTTTAAAGTGAATAAAGAATAGGTGGTCCCATTCATAATACTCATATGGGTACAAGTTATAAAAGACAGAATTACCAAATGATGCTACTGCAATGACCATTTGTTAGATTTTTATAGTGCTTAATAATTTCCAAACTATATTCCACAAAATTCTCAATTGTGACAGGCTAATGTCTTTTTTTCCCTTTTTCCCTTTATGCAAATCATGTAGCAATGAAGAGCAATGCGTATCTCAGATTATTACTCTAAGAAGTATCTTCAGAATGATAGTGCTAGTCCAATGGAATCTTCATTCATAAGTTTTTTCATGGAATACCAAATTTTTTTTAGATTTGTTTTTACCAATATGCATCTCCATCATAAAGCTTAATTGATCATTATGCAGTCCTCACATAGTGCCACCTTTGTTTCTGATATTTCAGATACTCAGATATTCTAAAACTGAGTGCTTTCAGCCTGGTTCTGTCCTTCTCCCCATTTTCTGCATCGAACTCTGATGTAATTTAATGTTTCTTTAAACATTTGCTAGATGTTTATGCATCCACAGAATTATATACCATTTTGCTAGATTTTAAACTTGACATAAATGAAATCACTCTATGTGCCTTCTGCAATTTATTTTATTTTTCACTAAACATTGTCAAACTTATTCATTCTGATTTTTGTAGCAGTAATTTTTACTGGTATATTCTATGTTGACATATAACTATGTCACACTTGTCTATTATACTATTGATAGACAATTATATTTTTCCAATTTTTAATATACAAATCCAGCAATAAATTTTCTCGTGAAATTCTGAATGTGTATCCGTTCAAGAGGTCCTCTCATGTACATACATAGGATGTTAATTTCTGGGTCATAAGATATAAGCATCTTTAAATTTATTGGATATAGTCAAATTGCTTTTTCAGTTTGCTCTCCTGCCAATAATGTGTGAAAGTGCCCTTTACTCCACATTCATGTCAACACAATATATTATCAGACTTTTACAATGTTTTCCAATCTGATGGTGCAAAATAGATTCTCATTTCTTGTATAAGGTTTCGATTGTCATTACAGTGAACTTAAGTATTTTTAAATGTTTTGATGATAATCGAAGATGTCTCTTTTTTTTTTTTTTCAGTTGTATGTCCATATTCTTTTTTCACTTTTTGACGGGGCTATTTCATTTTTATTTCCTACATTTGTAATAGTTTCTTAAGTATTCTGTACTAGATACTAATCTTTTAATGGTGCAAAAATTCCTCTTGACATGCTGGTGTGCTCTTATTGTTTTTCATAGTCGACAGGATGAAATATGCTCTCAGCTGAGGTCTTGAATCTAGACTGTCTTATTATCATCTCTCTTTTGAGATAGAAATCTTTAAGAAGCACATCCTTCTGTACTCTTCCTGACTTGCTAGGTAAAACCAGAAACTGTGGGTCATGATAGTAGTTTCCTGTTCCTTGTGAATGTGCTTGTATAATGTGTTTCTGAAGTTTCTTCTGAAGGTGTGGGAATGGGAAGAGAGAGGAATAGCATGAGGATTCTTTCCTATACCTGAGTTTGTGGATCTAGTTTGTGGCCTCTGAGCCATAGGGTCCCATTTCCTCCCTCTGATCTGCAACCCTGGATCCACAAATTCAGGTCTAGAAAAAAATGAACACTTTCTGCACCACTTGGATTTCAAAGATTTAGAACTTACTGAAGTTGTTATTTATCTTCTTTTCTTGCTTTTTTAAAATGAAAGTTTGGATTATTTATTTCACTCTCACTTTCTTTTGTCATAGTAAGTGTTTATACATTTTACCTGAACACAGGTTTAGTTGAAAGCTATTAATTTTTTATAATTCACTTTGCAATATTTTCTATTTTCCCAGTGATGTCTTTTTTTAATCTCATGAGTCATTTAGCAGAGAGTGGTTATTTATCGTACATTTGGGACTTTAAAATATATTTCACTGTTATATATTTGTAATTTAGTTCTCATGTCAAAGAGTACTAGCTGCATGGTTTTATTCTTGAAAATTTATTCACTTTTTCCAGCTTTATTGAGATATAATTGACATATAACATCGTATAAGATTATAGTGTACAACATGATGCTTTATAGTATACAATGTGGTGCTTTATAACCATATATTTGAAAATGATCATTACAATAGGGTTAGTTAACACATCTATCATCTTACACAAGTACAATGTTTTTTGTTGTATAGATAATTGGATAATTGGTAAATGAGAAGAAAGAGTAGATTATTATTTCTGCCTTTTTTCTGTTTTCATGTGTGGGCAAATAAATGACATTGGTAAATTCCATGCTTACCAGGTTTTTCATGACTTATTACTTTCTAACTCTTAGACCTAACTCCTTGATCTAACTCTATTACAACTCATTATAATATCTTGTCCAAGTGATTTTACTTATGGGGTTTTGTAATTTAACCACTTTATTCTAGATATAAAAGTTTTTTTGATAAACACTTAGTAGTAATTTTGTGGAAGGGACCGTACAAAACACAACTGAGACTGGGAAAACATCACAGAACATCAAAGTCTGTGAGTTATGTTATTATTTTATATCTTTATTAATTTTCAACTGATCTGATTGAAATAAATGGTTATCCATTATGCAGAAATTCCATGAAGATAAACTCCTGCTGGTTAGCCAAAGGAATCAGATCAAAATGATGACAAACTGATGCAATTGCCTTGTGCAAATCCCAAGATTTTAATGATTACAAATCTACATGAATTACTATATCCCTGGAGTTCTCTCTTATAGTAACACTGTAATTATTTTTTCAGGGTGTGTTGAAAAATACTTTAGGGAAAAAAATTTCAAATTACAAGTTGAGTATAAATCATTTCTAACAACTCATCCCTTGAGCCATTAGTGTCTCTGAGAAAATCTTTCCCAGGGTCGGGTAAGAATGAAAATTCTGACTTCTATTCTTGCAATTTCTCTTCCTATTTCAGTTTTGTACCTTCACAAATAGGACTCAGGTAACAACAGAAGCAGCTTTGAATGTTAGCATAATTTTTAACCTGTATTTCTCTCTTAGATTGGTCACCAGAAAATGGGAAAATTTTATTGGAATAATGTGTTTACAACAATCCTTTTACTTTACAAACAGCAGTCTTTCTATTCACTCTATAACCATAATGAAGTAAACACTTGACAATCTTAAACATTTTTTAGATTAATATTTATTGAAAGAACAGTCCCCTCATCAAAAAAGTGGCAAACAATTCAGAAGATGGACAAATTCAAGCAGTTATAGTCATTCTAGCAAAAATGAAACTCTCATAGAACTTATAAATCTTTAAATTATCAGAGAGAGAAACTTTAGGAGCAATTTAATATTAACTAAGAGACACATAACTAGTAATGAGTGTAAGATTTATAATTACATACATGCTGAATCAGAAATGTATAAACAACAGGAATTTTCAAAATTATTTAGTCCAAGTCTGATAGTGAATAAATGAAGACTCCGTAGTCTATAGAAAGAAATCTACTCTATCAAGGTGGGAAAAAAAAAAAAAAAAAAACACTTTCTAAAAGAAGACTCAAAAAGAATTTTTACTGATATGTCATTGGCTGGTAGGAAGTCATGTGTATCATGATCTATAATTTAGGTTCATGAGACACCGGAATGGAAAGACTTGGGGAAGGTGCTGGAGTTCATTACGGCAGAGTGGACAGTGAAGGCGCTTCTTCTAGGGAAAGCACAGGCATATGACATGCATAGCTCCACCAACTCCATGACCCAGCTAGCTTTTTCTCCATTTCCTCCCTTAAAATATCATTTTTGCTCAGCTATTCTTGCAAATTTATCTTGGTCTTAATGATCTGTTAAGGTAATTTCTAGACTAAATTACTAAAACTTCAATAACTCTTCTGTTTTTTTTTTTTTTTGTGGTCTGTTCCTTGTCTTCAATAACACCTAGTTTCTCACTCAATCCATCTTATAGGAGAATAAAAATGGTCACCATATGCACACAAAATAGTTAGTAAAAGTGACATTAGTTCAGTGTGATCCTGCTACCTAGGACATTTGCATTTTAACTGGAACCTGAAGATGGCAAATTTGTCCTGAAATGACCATTTCAACAATAAGTATTTCAGGTACCAATGACACTTGTAGAGGTGAGCTTTGCACTTTCATTGATTGGTTACCTTTTTTTTTTTTTTTTGAGTGGGAGAATAGGATATTCTTGGAACTCCAAATTTTCACCAAATATTTATCATGTTTACCAATTTACCATAAGAGGAACCTATGTTTTCTTGTTTAATAATCTCTACTAAACTATAAGTAATGGTTTTTTTCTTGCATCTTCACATATTAAAAAATAAACATATATATGTATAGGTATCCTGTGAATCAAATTCATCAGCATATGCAAATCTGCATTGTTTCCATTATCTAGTTTATTTACGATCATTCCAACACAGAAGAAAGCAATTTTGCATTATTGGCCAGTGAAACTTAATGTGCAGCTTTATTTCAGTTATATTTCTTGAAATAAGAAACATAGACTTTAAAAAATTCATTACTACCTATACTGACTCCTGAATACCAAGAAATTTTGAATTGGGCACCAACGTCATAGGGAAAACCCTGTTTAGAAGAATATCTGCTTTCCTGCCTCACTGAAGTTTCACTAATTTTTTTATATGCTATTTCTCACACAGAGAACAAATTATTCACAGGTATTACAAACTGTTTCAACGGTCTCTTCATCAATTCACTATATATTACTTGTCTTTCTACATTAGAATAGGAAATAGGAAATGGTAAGAGTCATAGAGGATCAATTTTGTTAATTTTTGCATAAATATAAAATAAATAAACAATCTTAAACTCAGAGCACAATAAAAATGGAATAAGAAGCTATTAAGGGCAGTTCCCATAGCCATTAAGCATGAGGCTTTGACACATCCCAGCAGTGTAAGATCTATAAGAATTTGCTTATAGAAAGAGAAATAATCTTTAGTTGAGTTTCTATTAAGTATTCCAAAATCATTCAGATACTTAATTTCAGTGGAAAAGGCTATAGCTCTAATGCAGCAAGTTTGAGTATATAATAGAGATTTATCAGAAATATTTTAAATTTGCCAATGGTATTTCCCATATGCACATCTCAGATCAAAGATATTTTTTAAATTCCCGGTTTCTTTTTTGACTTTAAAATGTGAATCAGGCAAGAAACTCTATTCGAGTGGTCTTGGAAGAGGGTCATGGGTGGCAGATTGGGCCTTGAAAAGGAAGGAGAGGGGAAACTAGGGAGGTATAATTTTTAAAAGAGCTAAACATGTAATTTCAACACAGAAAAATTAAAATGTGTGCAGGTTATAGGAGAGTATTGAAAATATTTGTGACTTGGGGTGGCTCCATAGTGTAGTGGTTAGCAAGTCTGCTTTACATGCAGAAGGCCCTGGGTTTGCACCCCAGGTGGAGCCATGGACCAGGCCCCGAGTGTGCTAGGTCCCCTGAGTGTGCAGGGTGCGCCAGACCCCTGGTGCCCCAGGCCCCGGGTGCACAACATGAGCCTGTGGGAGGAGACACCCTGCTTTCAGAAATCCAGTTCTTAAGGGGAAACGACAACATCCATAGGTCAGGGGTGGAAGTTGGGCGGGGGCGGGGAATTGAAGAGGGGGAAAAAAAGAGAAAATATTTGTGACTTGTCTTATCTTATATCCACGTGTATTTAGTTTACCATATGCCTTATCTCAAATAGACATGTAGTTAAGCAACTGTTATTTGCTTGATATGAGATGAAGAGCAGACAGGTGTTAGTATTTAGGATCCAGGTATATAGATGATGTGTTTGAAAGTGGAAAAGATTTGAGTCCAAGTGTGATTGTACAGAGCTCTGGTGTCACATTGTAGTCTATTTTCTTCAGAGAGCTTAGATTTTTTTTCTGTTTGTTTCTACTTCCTCCTCACGTAGGAGTAACTTTTCCATGCTCAGTATTTCCTGTAAGCAACTGCTTTTTTGAGAATATGAATCAATGAGAAATTCAAAAGTGCTTTAGGACCTGACCATTGACACTATGAATGGAGGTGGTTTTCCACATAATACAGAATATATCTTATTATCTTGTATTTTCTCTAGCTTTAGGGGTGCAAGGATTCTAGTAAACTCTGGTGCTTATTGTGAAATGAGGTTTTCTTAGCCTAAAGAGAACATTTGAGATGCTCCAGGCTCTTTGAACAATTAAGCTCAAGAAAGGCTGCATATTATTGTCCAACTTTTGTAACTTCAAATGCATTTGAACATATAAAAGATTCTGAGACTCTCTGCAAGAGGGAAATCCAGCCTCTCTTTTTCTCCAAAACTCAGCATTTTTCAAACTTATTTTTTTACCATAGACTTGTTTTATTGCCTGATATCCAGTTCCAATGAACACAATTTTGGAAACACTAATCTAAAAACTCAGGAGATGGCCAGCTTAATGTTTGTTTATTTACTCTATTTTCTTCATTCCTAATTGTACTTGCCCTATCAGTTGCAGGATTCTTCTAAAGGGAAAATATAATAGAATAGCATAAATTGCTTTGTATAACTGAAATGCCTGTGCATATGGGAAAAAATATTATTATCAAAATATAGACTTTTCTTCCTAAACTGTGGTTGCTAAACTTACTTACAGGAAAAGGTAGGAAATAGGCAGATTAAATTCCAATCTCTTTTTAATATTTTTATTGTCTTTATTAGTTGTTTGATGTAATATGATAACCGAACTGGTGCTACTATTTAGGGCATAGTTGTCCTTATTTAAAGATTAGATGAGTATCTTCATGTCGTTACAATGGAGGATTTACATGACTAAGGCAAATATTTTCCAAATGGACTCCTCCTTCTAGTGAGTGAGGAAAGAGCACTTTTACTATCTACATATATCCTGATTGTCTAATTATTGTATTTTGCTCCCAGAGACCAAAGTTGTAGATTTAAGCCCTGCAAACTTTATTTCAAATTAACAGAGAATGTGAGTTCTAATTTACCACTGCAGCTTGAATATAACACACATACATACTCCAAACAAATGTCAAAGACAAATTCAATGATATGTTATCTTGTAACTTTCAGAAGTGTTCAAAAGTCTTAGCCTGTGGTGGAGACTTTCAAGTTCTTGGCTGCTCGCTATTTCCTAAACGTTTTATTTGACACAATAGAAAATTTTCTTTGCGTCTATGTGAATATATTTGATTTCTCTTCAAAGCCTCCTGTTACTGCATGTACAGCTCGCACTATCTGAAAATCATTTCTAGCTAGTCCGCCTAGAAAATTCTTAGTTATTTAAGCCCCAGTTAAAGATTATTGTTCTTTGATTTTATCCTGATTCCTGAACTTGATTAGTTACTGTGTTCAAATCTTTATTATTGAACTACAATTTTAACCTTAATTTTCTCTTCATATGTCTCATTTGCCAAGAAGACACTAAGCAGCTCTTTCAAGACAAGCACCGTTCCCAGTTATCTTTACTTTCCTGGCAAAGTGACTTGCATGCATGTAGTGTTCAATGCTGTTTGTGTGCAAAGGTTATATTATTATAATGATGAAATCATATAACATCCTGGAAGCATTATAATCAAAGCAGCAAATTTTTAAGAGTACTTGGTTCCATCTTCAGGAACACCTTTGACACTAGATATAGAGTTGGTGACATTGACATTGCATGGGATTGTCATTTGCACTGCCATGGATCAAGGCTACAGGTTTTTTTTTTCATTATGTCCTGGTTAAAGATAAGTTTAAAAATTGTATTATTTGCCAAAATGTATCTGATAGTTTTCAAATAAACATGATGAATTCTGATACTTCTTTAAAATTGAAGGGTCTTAAGATCTTGGAACACGGGCTATGTTACCATATAGTAAAAACTCAGCTGACTTGAGTGGCTGCTGACTGTATCCTGGGAACTGTTCTCTAGCTCACGTCAGATCACTTTTACCCAGACCACTTCAATTCATGCTTATTATCTAAATGGCTCCCGTAAGCATATGAGTTTTGATTCTTTATCCTATTTAGTCTATTACTTATGCAATAACACACGACAACATTAAGAATCCATAATGAAAATAATATTCTCTAGACTCCTGGCAAATTATGGATTAAGAATTCATGATGAAAATAATATTCTCTAGACTCCTGGCAATTATTTCTCATTTTATTTGTTAATACTGTAATCAGTATTAACAAACTGATAATATTATCTGAATGTATAATCCTTACATTGTAATTAGTATCATCTGAACTCTGAGCTAAGACTAATTCTCTCTTAATTATTTTTTTTTATAACTCTGGACATAATAGTTCTATAATAAAGAAGGTTGAACTATTTATGTATCTCTCTAGAAAGCTTAGAGTCAAATTTATGTTCCACCAGTAGCATAAATTTGCCAATTTTGTTATATACTATAAATCTCTTAAATGCTTTCTTGGTCAAATGATAAAAAAATGGATAAACAAACAAAACTATGATCTAAGTTTTGGCCACTTCTCTTTTCTCCTGTGCATGGTTTTCTTGTCTTTATTCATGTAAACTCTTCTGAATGAAAATTCCTTCATCAGTAATTCATATAGGGCTTTATTTCCGAATTTGGGGTCCTTATCTTTGGTCTATTCACATAGGTATTCCACAATCTCCTACATTTCATGCATATAATAGTAAAATAGGTCCCAGAGAATTTCCTTCAAACCTCTATAATTTGGGGCTCTCTACTATAGCAGGTAGGATGTGCAGTTCTCAAAAGTTGAACTTGTAGATATGCATATGCTATTAATGACTGCAAAAATATTTCCAAATATATGTTGCCATTTTATCCAGAGTCATTCCTGGGCTCAGTGTAAACTGCAAGTGGTAGTTGGTAATTCAACCAATTTTTAGACAAACTTGGATCATAATTCCCCCATTCCAAAACAAGTTGGTGTCACAGGAGCTGTTTTCTTTGGGAATCATCTGCACATAATACATGTAGCTAATAGGGGCCATCACTTTCTTAACAGTCCCAGCTCCTACAGTCTCAAACTCTGTCTAATAATAGCTATATGTGAGGGTGACCGAGAGCAGAAGAAGGAGGAGAAAGAGAGATAGGGAGAGAAGAAACATATGATGGACTTCTCATTCACTTCTTAATTTATTTTAATTCATCTAAGTGAACAAGGCTGACACCTAAGAAAATGGTCAGAGGAAATTCCACCTTGGTGACAGAATTTGTTCTCTTGGGATTGACAGATCGTCCAGAACTTCAACCTATCCTTTTTGTGCTGTTCCTGCTTATCTACTTGATCACTGTTGGAGGGAACCTTGGCATGTTGGTACTGATCAGAATAGATTCACACCTTCACACCCCCATGTACTTCTTTCTTGCCAGTTTGTCCTGCTTGGATTTGTGTTATTCCACTAACGTGACTCCCAAGATGTTGGTGAACTTCTTATCAGAAAAGAAAACCATTTCCTATGCTGCGTGTTTAGTCCAGTGTTATTTTTTCATTGCCATGGTGATTACTGAATATTACATACTAGCTGTAATGGCTTATGATAGGTACATGGCCATCTGTAACCCTTTGCTTTACAGCAGCAAGATGTCCAAAGGGATCTGTATTCGTCTGATTGCTGGTCCATATGCCTATGGGTTCCTTAGTGGCCTGATGGAAACCATGTGGACATACCGCTTGACTTTCTGTGGCTCCAATATCATTAATCACTTCTATTGTGCTGACCCACCCCTCATCCAACTCTCCTGCTCTGACATTTTCATTAAGGAGATATCCATGTTTGTGGTAGCAGGATTTAACCTCTCCAACTCTCTCCTCATAATCCTCATCTCCTACGTCTTCATTCTCATTGCCATCCTGAGGATGCGTTCTGCTGAAGGCAGGCACAAAGCTTTTTCCACCTGTGGGTCCCATCTGGTGGCAGTGACTATGTTTTATGGGACCCTGTTCTGCATGTATGTTAGACCTCCCACAGATAAGTCAGTGGAGCAGTCCAAAATCATTGCTGTTTTCTACACTTTTGTAAGCCCTATGTTGAACCCCATCATTTATAGTTTGAGGAACAAGGATGTAAAACAAGCCTTTTGGAAATTGATCAGAAGAAATGTACTTTCGAAGTAAAATCACAGTGTATCTTTCTTTGTAAATTAAATAAAAGATGTAATTATGAGAACTAGATCTGACTTTAACTGCCTTTCAGTAGAACCAATTTTAAATCGATAATGAAAATCTATAATCTAGTGACAAAACATAAAAGGCACGGGTATATAAGATTTATAGTTTTACATGTAACATGTGAGTACATTGTGTGTGTAAAGGGGTAAGAGTTATATATAGAGGTATGAGGCATAGTTTTTCTTCTTTTACACACTTTTACATTTATAACTTATATGTTACTTTTACATTATGCAAATTATCCTTTCTTGTAGGAAAACGTTCTATTTCTAGAAGAGTGTAAAGTAAAAGAGTAAAATATTTCCTTTTCTTGCCTCTCTCTGATCTGCCATTCTCACCTCTCAAAGTTACCACTATCAACAGCTTTCTTTTTGCTTCCATAAAATTTCTATATATCTCCATAACCAATTTGTCACAGTACGGGTTTATATATATACATATACACAAAATTGTTAGTACACATGTTGACTGTCATGAGCTAATTTTAAGTACTTCATAATTCTGTAGCATTTACAATGCAGGGTCTTTGATTTCATTAAATAGGGGAATGTGACCACAATAGTGATGAGACTTGCTGCCACTTCTAGGAAGGAGAACTTATAATAATAACTTATAATAATATTCCCGTGACATCCGTTTAGTTCTCCCCACTTGTGAGACTCAATTTTAATAAGATACTTTCCTCCTACTGCCATACAAGAAATAAAACCTCCAAACAATTATTTGTTTAGATATTAACTCCCAAAGCAGGCAAATAATGGCTCTTGCATAACCCATATCTCAGAAGAAACTGTGACTTCTGTAGAGTTTATTAGCGACATTCTAGCCTTCTAGTGTCTAGGATTTTCATGCCTTCTCTCATCTCTGCATATTAACCTATTACTAATGATGAGATAGATATTTGTTATTTGCACCATAGTTCAAATTTACCCACAATTGTCCTCTGCCACAATTAATTATTACATATCTAATTTTGGAATTAAATGTTAACTAAATTAAATATATTTCAATGCTAAAGAATGAAAACGATAAGTTGATCTTTTAAAGATGTTAACATTTCAGGTGGCTTTGAAGCTACATACCATAAACAAAGTCAATGAATGTTTACTGAGTTTCTACAATAAGCCAAGTCCTACTCCAAGTACCAAGGAAACTTCAAGAAGCTCTAGGATTGTATAGTTTTGTAGAGTTTATGAAACTATAAAAAGAAAAATCAATACAATTGGTTAAGTGCTATAATATAAGAAAATGAAAGTGCTGATGTAAAAGAGGAAAGAAACAATTTATTCTGAGTAAATTGAAGTTAGTCTTATGGTTGTACAGACAAGAACTGTTCATCTTTTACGCTCCTGTTTCAACATACTTATTGCACCTAGTACAATGTTCTATCAGGCCAGGCAGGGGCTGAACTAAATAAGTGGTAGAACCAATTTGTGATCTCATATGTGAATGCTACTTTCAGTGAAAAAGGAAAAGACCATAGAATTGTAATTATTCACTCACCTAGTTGGAACATTTTTCTTAGTAGTATTTCAAAGCTTCTTTTCTGGCTTAGAGCCTATTTTTGCTCAAAATTTCCTGCAGGCTAACATATTAATGTTCATTGACTTTTTTATTATTCCGTATAATTATTTCAATCTTTCATATAACTAGATGTTGTCATTTAATAACTTTATACTGAAAGTCAGATTGTCTCTAAGTCCTGTTAAAACACACATATAAACAAATAACTATTTTTGTGACTTATAACATTCAATTGAAAGTTTGTTGAATTGTACTTAAACACATACCTAGATCTATTATTACTATTTAAGCAGACACATACATTCAGTTATGCAAAACCAATTCCTTTATTATTACAAATTTTCTGATCTCAGGGTTCATGTCTCTTTCTTTACAGTCTAGCTTGGCACCAAATGAAGTTTCGATAATGATGGCAGCATAAAATAATAAATGAATTTCCTATTTGAAAGTGAATAATTGCTTTTATTTTTAGATATATAAGAAAAAATGTCTATGAATAGACCAACAAAAGACTGAGGAAATATATTAGTTATAAACCAACGGAACTGTTCACAAATACAAGCAACCCATAATAATATCATCGAGATTTATGACAGACAGTAGCGATGGAGGCCATAGTGATGTTCACATACACACAAGTTTAAGATAAGAGGAGTTATAGAGAAAGCTTTCATGAATTGACCGGCTGGCTGGAATTACACCATCAGCATGTTAAAACAGTTTATTTTTCATTGTGCTGGACATGGAATAAATATGTGCTAATTAAATGCTTTTTGTATTAGTAGATTATTTCAGTAGACCCTGTATTTTTATCTAAAAGTTAAGAAATTCCTTTATTAATGATAATGTCTCTCATGAGGGATTTTAGGAACAGGCTTCTAAATTTTCATCCTTCTCCTTTGAAAGTTAATTCTTCTGTATTCCATATTTATTTTAAAAAATTGAGCAATGTGATGATAAAATAATTAATGTAAAAATAGACAATATTTTCTGTATTTTCCTAAAGAGCAATAGTGTTGATATTTTATATTTTTCTCCTCACCTATCTAAAAGTTAAATATTCTAATTGATGGCTTTTTTAGAAAAATGATTCCATATATATTTAGAAAAAATAAACAAATGTTCCAGAGAATAGTAATGTTAAAAGCCTAACATTTTAATTCATGTATCATATATTTTCTTGGGAGCAGTGGATAGCGTAAGAATGTTTAGAATTTCACACTCATACATATACACATGAAGGAGAGAAAAAGAAATAATAATGCTTACCAAAGTTCAGATATTGTTTTAATACATGTTGTTTTACATAATGTGACCACCAATATTATTATTTCGGTATTATAATTCCCACTTTACATATGAACAGAGACTCATAGATTATTATTAATCTAAAATCATATAGAAGAGAAGTTCAAATGTGTCTTACTTTAAAGTGTATTACTTTTTGTTTTTCTGCTATATTTGTTCCACTATACTTCATTGAAGGGAAAAAGCATGCAGTGAAAAAAACTATTACTTTTTGTTTTCCAAAAATGTTGTTGATCAGGTATTTGACAGCTACATGCACACTGAATGATATAATCAGCTATGAGAAAACTTCCTACTTTGTAATGTATAGACTAATTCAACTTGTCCAATAAAATGATCTTCGTTCTCAGATCCTGACTCCATCATTTATCAACTATATTAATAGTTAAGAGAATGAACTCTGGAATGAGATTTACTGAGTAAATTACTCAACTTCTCTCAATCTCTCTCAGCCTCAGTTTCTCCTCTATAAGATTAATATATAATACTATCTCTAGGGAAGCTGTGTAGCAGAAATGGATTAATACATGTAAAGTACCTAGCACAGTGCCTGATATATAGTATTTACTCAATAAAATTAACTCATTTTTATCATTAACTAGAAAATTACTTCACCTTAGAAACTCAGTTTTCTCAGACTTTTGTGTATTTTTTTGTTATTACGTTTATCACTTTTTAGATATAATGCCCTTATAGATTTAGTTATTTAATTAATGATTGTGTTCTCCATGATATTATAAATGCCATGAGGTGAAATATGTTTGAAAATAATTATTCTCCATTGTTTAGCCTGATACAAAGTCTGTACCTCCTAAAAAACAGATAGATAGATAGATAGATAGATAGATAGATGATAATTTATCGATAGATAACTTTTACAAATTGGAGATTATATGATATCTTATAAGGTGATAGGAATTAGAAAACATAAAATACTCTGATGGAATTGTAAATGTGTATGATTTATTCATGTATAATAAGTCTGTTTTTATTTCTTTAAACAGAAGAATTCACCTGGAAATATTCAGAATAAATTGAACAAGAGAGGAGGAATTTAGCTCCCTGAGGTTGACCAGTTGTCTGGTGCTGCAACTCGTTCTCTTTGTCTTGTCTCTATTTATCATTATTCTCTTTTTTTGTGGAAATCATGAGCCAAACTCTGCGGATCACATCTTCATACTGTCTTCTTACCAATCTGCCAATTCCATACATTTTGGTTAACTTTTTATTTGAAAAGATAATTTCCTTGATCAATTTATTTGACCAGTATAACATGATCACATTTCTGTTAACTCAACGTTTTGTATCTTGTGTTGTCTCTGACAATCATATCCACATGGTCATCTACTTTTCATGTAGTTACAATATTGGGTCTAAAGTACTCTACATTTATATGGCCACCATTGTCTATATAAGTGATTTTATGTAGACTTAACATCTCTTTTGTTTTCTCCAGAGCTGGCAACATGGAGCATTATCATATTTTGCCACTTCATAGCTACTCAGCCCAAATAAAATTGAATTTTACCAAAAATCATATTGGAACTCTAGAATATGCTTAGGAGTACATGGGAATTTCAAGTTTGCATTTTTAAAAAAAATTCTTCAATCTTTCTAATCTTTGTAAACCAGAAAAATGTCTCTTCTTTTGAATTCTTTTTTATAAATATGCCTAGGTAATGGTATTTCCTAAAAATAATCAATAGCAAAATGTAAATAGTATCTCTCCTGTATGTTTGTGATTTTTCTTTTAAACTGCCAAATAAATAGAAAGGGAAAAAATGTAATATTTGAAAACAAGAAACTCCAAAGTTGAATTATTACACAAATCGCCTTTATATCCTTTTCAGCATCAAGAATCACTATGTAAATGATTTGAAAGGCTCGTATTTGATTGTGCTTTTATTATTGAATAATGTAAAACATGATGTTTTTTATTTGTGTTTCTTGAGGAAAGGCAATTTCTTATTTCAACAATAGCATAAAATCTTCCAGAATAAATCTTCAAAGAATGCCCAATGAAGAGCTAAGAATAATAGCTGGATAAGTGATTTACTTACTTCATATCTTTAGCTCTAAAGTCTTGATTTTTCAGTTCATAAATCTCATCTGTC